CATTAAAATACGCCAGGATTTCTAATCTAATCAGATTCGTAGATTGTACAAGTTTCAGTGTCTGTCTAAACCTTAGTATTTTGAAAATATTCCTAATATCCTAAAAATAAAATAAAGATTTAAGTACCGCAATGTACTGAAATCCGGCCACTTAGTCCAAACATTCGAATACATTTAAAAGTTTATTTTCATTGCCTTGCACTCTCATCGTGCATAATAATCACACATGTTTATTATGTAATAATTTTCAGATAAAAAAAAGAGTTTTTGAGAAAAATTTACTTAAAATTTTTAAGACTTTTTGTTTCAGTGAAGTATTTTTTATTTTTATTTTAATATAACAGCACATCCAATTTTCTACAAATCATACTTTGGATACATTTTTGTAGGATTTATAAATTATGAGATATAATTTTTTGTAGAAAATATTGGAAAAATAAGTTCGGCCCTTTTAAAATGGTGGTCTTGATTTTTTTTTTAATAAAATGAACATGCAAAGTTTCTTAAGTAGAAGATGTCTTAAAACCCACAATGATTCATTGAAATCCGAGAGGGTGCTGCCAACCCCATAGTCAAGTTGGCGTGAAATTCGACAGATGCTTAATTTGGGCGAACAAAAACAGCAATTGACATACTCAGACAAAGTGTTAACTATTAAATACATATATCCACAATAATAACCGAGATTTTGTATTCCAACCCGACAATTATCCGTACCAAGACTAACAGATTATCAGTCACTAACTAGAGAAACTTAGCCACCGACGGCTGTAAACGGTTTCCTTCATGCGAATCAAGTTAGTTGTAAGACGGTCATTTATCAACTCCGTTCATCAGTTTACGCTTTCAAAACTTCCTCAATTTTGGCTCGATAATTTCTTCCGATCAGCAACACCTAATCCCAAACATGAACGAAGAAAATCGACCTTGATAAAGCGCCACTGGTCTCCGGCAGCCTTTGGTCGCAACTTTTCAAGCCCTTTTTCCGCCACATTCGTACCGGTTTCACGCGGCAATTTGGAAGACGATGACGATAACGAAACCCACCCGGCCCACGAGCACGGACCCACTGTGACTAATGGAAAATGATGCCCGGTACACAGAAAGGACTGCCCAGTGGTGAATCCCTGGATCAGATCAAAGATGAACTGGCAAAATTACTTGGAGTTGTGCCACTCCAAGTAATCAAAATGAAAATGAAATCCCGTCCTGGCGATTCGCGCAACGGGATTTCTAATGATTTTTATTTAGTTCACTTCAAGTCTAGTGAACTAAACAACCTTAAGGCCTTAGAAAAAGCTAGCCTTATGCTCCATGTCCGAGTGAAGTGGGAACACTTCAGGAAGACTGGAGGAAATTTTCAAAACCTCACTCAGTGCCGTAAGTGCCAGGGATGGGGTCACGGAACTAAAAATTGCTACATGCCAGCTAAATGCATGAATTGTGGTGATTCCTCTCACGCAAAGGACGACTGTCCTGTGAAGGAAGATCCTAAGAAATTTAAATGTTCAAATTGTGGTGAAAACCACAAATCCAATTTTTGGGAATGTAAGACTCGCAAAGCGATCCTACAATCTCGTTCTAACCGACAGGTAGGAAACGCTCCACGTTTCCGACCAGGTATAAATTCCTCTGCTGTTAACAACGGTCAGCGAGGAACAAATTCTACATTCGTACCCGTAGGTACAAATATCACCCCTGCTTCAAATGTTTCATCTGTACCTACTCCCCTCGCTGCTAACAATGTTCAGCGAGTTAATGGAGCTACCTATGCTGCTATTGCAGCGGGTAGAAATCAAAATACTAACCAACGTTCTAACGGAAATTTTGACAATTTTGACTTAGGAAGCATTACTGCTCCTAAAATGGAATTTTTACAGAATTCATTAATTGACATGATTTCTGATATGCTTAAATCTAACTCCATATTTGATGCTATTCAAACTGGAGTAAAATTTGCTAATAATATTGTCATGACTTTAAAATTCAGTAATGGATTTTAAAGCATTAAACATTTTAAATTGGAATGCTCGATCTCTTAAAGATAATGAAGACGAGCTATTTAATTTTTTGAGAGTTCATAACGTGCATATTGCCGTTATAACTGAAACGTTCCTTAAACCTGACCATAAGGTTAAGAAGGACGCAAATTACTTGATTTATAGAAATGATCGTCTTGATGGACCCTGTGGTGGCGTTGCCATCATTATTCATAGACGAATCAAGCATAAAATTCTTTCTTCATTTGAAACCAAAGTTTTTGAAACTTTGGGAGTTTCTGTTGAAACAAAATTTGGACAACTTACGTTTATAGCTGCCTATTTGCCATTCCAATGCGTAGGCCAGCAAAAGAATTTTCTCAAGGGTGACCTCCAGAAACTTACCCGTCATAGGTCTAAATTCTTCATTATTGGTGATTTTAATGCAAAACACCGCTCATGGAATAATGCTCAAAGCAATTCCAATGGTAATATTCTGTTTGATGATTGTTCTGCAGGTTATTACACTATTCAATATCCAAACAGCCCAACATGCTTTTCTTCTGCAAGGAATCCCTCCACTATTGATTTGGTCTTAACTGATTCATGTCAACTTTGTAACCAATTGGTTACCCATGCTGACTTCGGTTCTGATCACCTTCCAGTAACTTTTGAAATATCCCAAGAAATAATTTGTAATCCCAACAGCTCTACTTTCAATTACCATAGAGCTGATTGGGAGCAGTATCGAACATTTATGGAATATAACTTCGATCCAAACATTCCTTTGCAAACCAAAGATGAAATTAATTATGCTCTTGAATCTCTGACTACTTCTATAGTTGAAGCAAGAGCTGCCTCAGTACCAAAATGCGAGGTTAAATTCGATTCAATTATAATAGACGATGATCTTCAGCTCTTGATCCGTCTTAAAAATGTCCGTAGGAGACAATTTCAAAGAACACGCGATCCTGCCATGAAAGTTATCTGGCGGGATTTGCAAAAAACAAATTAAAAAGCGATTCTCTGCCCTGAGGAACAAAACTTTTGAAAATAATGTTTCTAAATTAGACCCGAGTTCCAAACCCTTTTGGAAACTCACAAAAATTTTGAAAAAACCTCAAAAGCCAATTCCAGCGCTTAAAGAAGGTGGTAAAATTTTGATCACAAATTTGGAAAAAGCTCAGAAACTTGCTAAGCAATTCGAGAGTTCCCATAATTTCAGTTTGGGTCTTACTAGTCCTATTGAGAATCAGGTTGCTCGGGATTTTCGGAATATTTTCTCTCGGGAAAATATTTTTGATGATTCCTGGGGGACTGATTTGGACGAAGTAAGGTCTATAACTAAAAAGTTTCAAAATATGAAAGCTCCAGGTGATGATGGAATTTTCTATATCCTCATCAAAAAACTCCCAGAGAGTACCTTGTCTTTCCTGGTAAAATTATTTAACAGATGTTTCCATTTGGCATACTTTCCTGATAAATGGAAAAATGCAAAAGTTGTTCCAATTTTGAAGCCGGATAAAAATCCAGCTGAAGCTTCTAGCTACCGTCCAATAAGTTTGCTTTCTTCAATAAGTAAACTTTTTGAAAAAATAATTTTGAATAGAATGATGCTTCACATCAATACGAACTCAATTTTTGCAGATGAGCAGTTTGGATTTCGCCATGGGCATTCAACTACTCATCAACTCTTAAGAGTTACCAATTTAATTCGTTCAAACAAATCTGAAGGCCACTCAACTGGAGTTGCTCTTCTAGACATAGAAAAAGCATTCGACAGTGTTTGGCATGAAGGTTTGATTGCTAAATTGAAAAAGTTTAATTTTCCACTTTACATTATGAAATTAGTTCAAAATTATTTAACTGACAGAACTCTGCAGGTAAATTATCAAAATTCCAAATCTAATCGATTACCTGTTAGAGCAGGAGTTCCTCAGGGTAGCATTCTTGGGCCTATATTGTATAACATTTTCACTTCGGACCTCCCTGATTTGCCTCAGGGTTGCCACAAATCTTTGTTCGCTGATGACACAGGCATTTCCGCTAAAGGAAGAAGTCTTCGTGTTATTTGCAGCAGACTTCAGAAAAGTTTAGATATTTTCTCTTCTTATTTACAAAAATGGAAGATTTCTCCCAACGCTTCCAAAACTCAACTTATAATATTTCCACATAAGCCCAGGGCTTCCTTTTTGAAACCTAGTAGTAGTCACATAGTCACTATGAACGGAGTTCCAATTTCCTGGTCAAACCAAGTGAAATATCTTGGATTAATACTTGACCATAAATTAACTTTTAAAGATCACATTGAGGGCATTCAAGCCAAATGTAACAAATATATAAAATGTTTGTATCCTCTTATAAACAGGAAATCCAAACTTTGCCTGACGAATAAACTTCTAATATTTAAACAAGTTTTTAGACCGGCCATGCTTTACGCTGTGCCAATATGGTCTAGTTGTTGCACTACCAGGAAAAAAGCACTTCAAAGGATTCAGAACAAAATTCTGAAGATGATTTTGAAGTTGCCTCCCTGGTACAGTACTACCGAAGTACATAGAATTTCGAATGTTGAGACTTTAGCACAAATGTCCAACAAAATAATTAATAATTTCCGGCAAAAATCGTTACAATCCTCAATTGCAACGATTAATTCCCTTTATACTTAGATAAGATTTAGTTTTAGTTATTTAGTTTTAAGCTATCAATTGTTATACTGACATGCAGGTTTAAAAAACCTGTTTAAAATACTGAATTGCCAAGACAGGAACAATGTAAAAACACTAAGATATATATCATAACAATTAAGGCTGGTAAGTTACTGTAGTAACTGGAGCACCTAGGTTAAAAATGAAATGTAATTTATTTTAAATTTGGAACAAATAAAGAGTTAAAAAAAAAAAAAAAAAAAAAATGCCCGGTACACAAAATAACCTGCAAAATTATGGTCGAAAAACGGAGAAAAAAGGCTGCGAAAAATTAAAGCACAAAAAATCCGAAATGAAAGCAATAAATAATAACCTCTTGTGTTATTTTTCACGGCTCCACGAAGTATTCCATTATCTCGGCACTCCATGGTTGCAGTATAATCGTAATCGTACGTGTTCATCTTGGCCGCTGCAATACCACCACACACATTTAGGGCTGTTTTTATCCTCTGATAATAGTGCTCCACTCCTCCTTCCCTCTATCACTCTTTCTCTTCTTTGCTCCTCCTTTCGTCGTTCTTTAATTTACTGCATCACTTCGAAGTACTTCTCTCCTTCTCTCACTCTCTCTCTCTTTCTCGATCTCCCTTGACATTCACTTGATCAAATTTCTTCCCTTGGCAGACGAAGCAATTTTTCCGCCGTAATGCACTTGACTTTCATTCGTGTAAATTGTTGTTAAATTTAATAGCTCGACAGAAACACCTCGCCGCGCGCGACCGAGATAAATCATGACATTTTTTTCCCCGCACAGGCCCGGATTGCACGCGATAAAAATCCCGATTATGTTACAAATGAACGGAACGCCGAGAAAAAAAAAATCGCACACTCGAACCAATTTGAACGTAAACACCAAACAGCGGAAGAAAAAAACTTATCAAATTTTCATAAATTTACATATTATTTTCATATTTGTCACTGATAGCGCGCGAGTGCGTGTGAGAGCGCATCGTAGTCGGCGCGTAGATCCACCGTGGATGATAATCACAATTTTTTTCGCCACCCCTGGCTACTGCGTCCGTCTGTGACTATGGCGATGGTGGGTTGATTGGCGACGGCAGCGACTACTGCGATGGACAATTTGTCAAATCGAAACCAAAGCAGGAAATTATATGAAAAGAAACAAAAAAAAAAAAACAGTGGGAATCAGAAAATCAATATTTTAAAGTGCTGATGTTCAAGCAGGAGTGGATTTGATAAGCTTGTTAGTTTTCCAAGCCTGGACATGTGTCTATTTTAAGAGTGGAAAAAAGTTTCAAACATTTCCTGGAATTGTGTCTGCTGCCGTCGTCATTCCTGGCAGTGACAGACTGAAGAGGAGAAAGAGGAAGAAGAGTGTGTGTGTGACTCAGTTGTTGTCGGAATGTGGTCCCTCAAGCGCCGGGATCCAGGTAGTTGCCTGCCGACCTAAATCTTATCAATTTTTACGACTTTTCCCTTCGACCTAAACATCCCAATCCCGTCCCTGGCATTGTCCCTTCGGGTAGGACGACGTTTATCTCTTCTCGGCTTCTTACGAACATGAACGGAAGAATCCCTCCCGGGTACAACGAACCGAAGGGAAAATCGATAAATTAATGAAACCGGCCTTGGTGTCGGAATTCCTCAAGATTAAACGTGAATTGCCCTGGGGGTGTGAGTCATCACATGCACCCGTAGAAATTACCTTCGATGTGATTTTCAATCAATTTCAATCTCGTTTGGCAACCAGCGTAGAGCGAAACTCCCCGAGGGGGACAATGACCGCAACTTGACATATCGGCCCATATCTCACGGTAGGCGCTGGAAAATCGCACAGGTGACCACCGCGTCGCTTCGCTACCAGAACAGCCAGCAATATCTACTGAGATGCCAACGATGGATAGAGGCGGAAAAGCAGGGAACGAAACAGCGGAGCAGGACTCTAATCCTTATCGATTTTCAATCAATTTCGTACCAACGACGACGGCGACGACGACGGGAGAATGTCTTGCGGTTCTCCGAGGGTTTCTCCTAACCTTCGCTTCGTTAGCCAAAACTAAATAAAAAAAAATGTTTCTCTTCCCTCGTTGTGTGGGGTTAATTATTGACTTTTTCCTCCGAAAAAAAAAAATCTAAGATCCCATCAGATTGAATCGCTTCCGAAAAAAAAAGAACCATCAAGACAACTGTTTTTATCCTTGTTCGAGCTAAATAATAAATAAGAAACCACCGAAATCGTTGCTCCGTGGCTAAAAATAGCCTCCTTAAAGAACGACTTCGGAATAGCGTGAGAATCCTTTTCCCCACACAAATCTTTGCCTCTGCATGGCCTATACTGTGTGCACGGTGTCCTTTTGGCAGCCGCACCGATCAACTCCCGTTCTGTTGTATTGGTAGAAAATTTCGGCGATGGCAAAAATGGGCGAAAACGGCGGCGCCTCCGATTATGTATGGGTACGACGACGTCGGTGGCGAATTTATGCTTCGGGAGCACCAACACAAGCATGCCATGCGATTTCGGAGAGCGAAAACTGGCAAGGATAACACGCATCCTGTGCCAGCCTACTGAGCTGCGTGTCTCTCTGTGTTGGTGCGAGGCAAATTCTCACGGAAAGATGTCGCCACCGGTATTGCTGGTGGTGGCATACAACAGGAGGAAATCGCGATTCCTTGCTTCTTTCGTTCATGTGCTTGGTCGACTTGGCCCAGTTTTTCGGGGCGAGGAGGTTTATTTATCGATTTATTGTTTTGCTTTTTCGCGTGTGAGCCCGATGGCTTCGCCTGCTCTGTTTCTCGTTCTCGTTGTGTGTGCACTTTTAATAGAGAGATAGGACTCCACTGTGCACGGTGTGCTCGTTCTCTTGAGGTGGTGGTGGGGGTGGGCAGGGGAAGCAAAATAAACGAGATCAAGTGCGGGAATAAGTTTTGAATGCAGTCTCTCGGTCCTTTGGGAAGCAGCGCGCATTCGGGCTAAATTATTGCATTGTGCGGTCGGTCTTTCTTGGTGTGTCCTTTTTTGGATAGCTCCGAGTTTGGATGCATGTTCGTGAAAATACAGTCTCCCCACGAATAGGGAATATGTTTATTTATGCGAGGATGCGGAAGAATTGATACCGGGCATGGGACTTGCTAGTTCGGTTCGGAAATTTCCCCATTCGAAGCACCTTCATTTACGCTAACCTTTGCCCTCGCCAGAAACAGTAAACAACTTTTTTTTTTCTCTCTCCCATTCCTTGCGAAGGGTTGACAGACTCTATTGATTCCCAAATCCCTGCACCAATCTTCCATTTTCCGGACCAAATAAATTACCGTATTTATTTTGCTGTCATCCCTTCGTCGGCATTCTCCCTCTGTCCACCCTTTTATATTTATTAGTACTCTCATTCACTTTTGTCATACTATTTGCATCATTTATCCTGCTCTTTCCTTTTTCACTTCCTTTTCAGACGTTGTTGCCCACACGGTTTCGTTCGTGCGATCGATCCGCTTGCACCGAAAACATGATGTTTCCATTCAATATTGATGATGATGTCAATGTTTATTTATCTTTCTCGTTAATACTTCATTCGAGCGTTCGCGTCTCCCACGCTCGAGAGCTCGTTGCGGCTCTAGGCAGGTTTAGGTTGAACTTGAACACCGCATGGATCGCTTCGGAAGTGCTAAGTGGATGGAGGTTTGTCCCATTGCATTTGTGAAAATTGTTTTTTATTTTTCTGACCCAGTGAGGACGCGCGGGGCCATGATCTTGAATGATTTCCTTGTCAATATGGGTTGTATGGTATCGCTTCATTTGATCATGATCATTTTTAGCGTATGTTTCAAAGTTGAAATAGGACAGTTTTTGCAAGAGTGTACTTGTAAAGGTTGGATGCAGGGTGGCTATAAAAAAAAATGTTTTTCGGAATTATAAATTCATTAGATCTTATAATGCTCATTAGTACTTGTAATTTACAAGAAGAGGTTTTAAAGTATGTGTTTAACACATACAACCTGCCAATGTTGGTTTCAGAGCGCCACAATCAGCGATTTTACTACTCGTGAGCGATCACTCTGAGTGAACGCTCACGAATCATAAAATCGCTGATTGCGACGCTCTGAAAGTGAAAATGACAGGCTTTATGTGACCAATACATACTTTAGAACCTTTTCTTGTAAATAATAAGTACTAATTAGCATCATAACATCGAATGAATTCATTGTTACGAAAAACAACTTTTTATAGCAAGTAAGTAGAAGCAACCCTGGTTGGATGTAAATTGTCTGGAGAGAGCAGTCGATGGACTGTATGAAATTTTTATCAAATTAATTGGATTTCATATCAGAGTTCTCGAGGAACTCTTTTTTAATCTTGTTTTTCATTTTCTGAGTTATTTTCAGAATTCCGTCTTAAGTTTTCAAAATTCTTCCGGAATTTTCCATAAAATGTCGTTATTATTTGTCTCTGTAGGAATTGTCCATGACACATGGATGGTGTGTGAGTTTGAACTTCCATGAAATCAAACTCAAAACTACTGCTTAATAACCTCTCCTTGACTCTGTCGCAAATGTAACATTCTCCTCAAGATTCCATGAAAAGTGAATCAACTTAAGATATAGATTCCTTTCAAATTCTTATCACGATTCTTCATAAATTTATCTCAGAACTCCTAAGAAGTTCTTGTCAGGTGCTTTGGTACTCTTGTAAGAATTTATTTGGAGTTGTGGAGTTGTGGATATTTTTTTTTAAATTATACACTGAATTTTCTTTGAGTTCTTCTCAGAGATTCTCTGAAATTCTCTCGGACATTTCCGCAGAATTGCCTTATGATTCCACTTTTAAATTACCCCAGTAATTTCCTTACAAAGCTTTTCATTTTTTTCAGAATTAAAGAGTGTATTCGATAAAAATGGCGCATCGAAAATCTTCTGTAACTTTTGAACCGTATGAGTAAAACACCTGAAAATTTGCGCAAATCTTATTCATAGTCTTCATTCCTTTATTTAACGTCGGTCTCTGTTCCGCAATCTAGTGCCAATCACCGACGGACATCGATAGCCATCCATTGACCACAATCGAATGTGCAGGAAGGCAGCTTCCACACCTGCGTAGGATATTGCACCCAGTCAACACACATGGGCCGGGACCAACGGCTTTACTTCTCTTCCGAAGGAAGACGTAAGCAGAGATTTTTATGCCTCAGAAAAGTTCCACCGACCTGGGCTGGGATTGAACCCAGACCCATTGGGGTGAGAAAACAGTCACGTTTACCACAACACCACTGACACCGGCTAATCTTATTCATAGTCTATTGTTGACATCTGTCAAGTTTCATAGTTATTCATACAGTAGTTCCAGTCATGTCGTCGAAACAAGAAATTGTCCGTGAAAAATTGTTTTGCACTCACAATCAAAATCCAGAGGCGTCCCACCGATGGATCGCTAAAAAGTTTGAAATTGCAAATACAACTGTGTCTCGTGTGATAAGTACCTTCAAGGTGCGTCTGATTGCCCGAAAGAAGGGAGTGATCTTAAAAGTGGTCCAATGGACAGTAAAATGTCCAGGAAAGTGGTGCAACAGCAGGGCTGGTAGCAATCACTGCTGTTAAAAATAGTGATTTTAGTGACAATTTTGATGAAATAAGTGACCAAATAGTGACTTATAGTTGTAAAAATAGTGACTAAAAAGTGACCTTAAAGTAAATTTTAATGAAAACTGAGGAACTTTAGAGGAAAATTCCAAGGGCATTCTGAGCATAATTTCATAAAGTTTGTGGGAGGAAACGAATTCGGAGCATAAGTCCTTGGATTTTTTTTTAAAAATACTATAGGAGGATTACAATTAAATCTGAGAATAACTCCAGGACATCTTCACAGGAATTCAGAAAATGAATTCAGGAGAGTTTGCCAAACAAATTATGAGAAGAAATAGAAGTAATTTATGAGGAGAAATGCCAATTAATTCTTAGGAGATTTTCAATGTGAGTAGAATTCCAAGGGAAGGAGTGAGATTGAAAAGAAAATCTGAAATGAATTCAATGAATATAAGAAGAATCATTGTGGAGAATTCCAAGGAAAACTAAAAGAAAATTGAATTCGGAGGATAGCTTCACCAAAATTTTGAGGAAC